CGCCGACCTTTGTCTCCGTCACATTAGCTATGACATTCCATCAAATATTACATAATATAACATATAAAAAATCATAAGTTTATGTTATATGACTTTTGAAGTCTTACAGAGACGAAAATCATTAACAAAATGACGATGTATGATTTTTTAGAAAAAAAAGATTTTTGGATCAATTGTTCTACACCAGGATGTACTGAATCGATTGACACAAAATTTTAAACACAAGTGTGGGTCAATAATGCAAATAAGTAGCCAGAATCTCAGATGTTTATTTCAAGTTTTACGTGTATTATGGACACCACATTAACTTTTGAATGAAAAAAACAGAAAAACGCTGATATCTCGGAAACTTTGTATGGGAAGGTATGCATATTTTGATTGATCTTGGTAGAAAATACCATGACGAATAATTTGAAGACAAAAAAAGTGAACCAGTAGTTTAGAAGTTATTGAGCATAGCAGTTTTTCAGAAAAAGTTGAATATCTCCGAAACTACTCATCCGATTCGGCCCATCCACAATCCCAGCTAATAGTACCATAAGAGCTACAATCCTACCGAATTTCAACTTCCTATCTTGATTTTTCAGGCAGTTATCGTGCATACACCGATTTTCTTATCAAAATGAAAAATTCTGATTATTACCAAACCATCCCTAGTGACGTGGCAATATTATGATTTGATTCGATAGATATTATCACAAGGGATATTTTGACATAAAAAAATTCAATTCAGTCACGTAGTTTTTGGGATATTGAGGAAAAACGATTTCTGAGAAATTGCTGTATCTCGGAAACTACTGCACCGATTGAGCTGAAATTGCGCCCAAAAATGCTCTAAAATAATACCAATTAAATGACAAAATTTCAGATTTGTGGCTTCAACTTTAGTCCTTTTTGTTTCCGAATGGAAGCTTTGTAATCGTCCGATTTTCACATTCTCTAATGTTCATTGGAAATGATGTAGAATGGTCTGAAACGTAAAAATACGAAGTTTGACGACCATGTCTGTATGTGAATATGTCCACCGCCACCTTCCTGATAGTCAATATTTAGAAAATTGAGTAATTAAGTGGTTAAAATAATTCAAAAAAAGTTGAAATTTTGTCAGATTATAGGTCTTAATGAGGACTAACTCTGTGCACAATTTCAGTTCGATCGGTCAAGTAGTTCTTGAGATAATGCGATTCGTTTTTAAATCGTTTTTCACGAATATCTTTAAAATTATTGGACCGGTTTAGATTTTTTGTTTCTTTTAAAATATTCGTCTCGATGTCCTCTACCTAGATCAACAGAAACATATATACCCGTCTGTACAAAGTTTTTGAGATATTTCCCCTTTTCTGTTTTTTCATTAAAATCCTTGTACGCGTGCTAACGTGTGCAAAAATCGAGATATCCACTTGTTTTTCAAAATACTCGTCTCGATGTCATCTATCTAGGTCAGTCAAAATATATGGACCCGTTTATACAAAGTTTTGGAGATTCATTTCAATTAATCAACAAAGATTCATTTCAATTAATCAACTTTGTATAAGCGATTTTACATTTTTGGTGTTCCCTAAATTCTTTGTTCGCACAATAACTTGAGGAAAAATTGAGATGGGAATGTGACGTGAGAAAATAGTTTCTTCTGTAAATTGAAAAAGGGAATTGCTATTGATTCATTCAAAAGCTTACTACCAATGGAATTGGTAGAAATAAAAAATTAAAATACAAATAACACATAAACTAACAGTCACATACCTTCTGGAATATAGGAGCGGTCAACTGCTTGTTTTGGTGTAATTTATAAAAATTTTCCAAAAAATCGTCACACTTTCGGACATACATACACACATTTTCTAAAAACATCATATCTTCACGTTTCATTCTACATCAATTCCAGGCAAAATTAGTAGATCTCAAAAATCATCGATGACGAGGCTTCCATTCGGAAGCAAAAACGAAAAAACGCGAATATCTCGAAAACTTTGGACAAACGGGTATATATGTTTCGATTGATTTAGATAGAAGGTATCGAAGCGAATATTTTGAAAACAAAAAAATCGAAATCGGTCCACTAGTTTTGAAGATATGTGCGGAAAACGATTTAAAAACGAATCGCTTTTTCAACAAAACTATTGGATCGATCGGGCTGAAATTTGTACAGAGTTAGTCCTCATTAAGACCTATAATCTGACAAAATTTCAGATTCTTTGAAATTACTTTAGCCACTTAATTACTCAATTTTATAAAAATTGACCACTGAGAAGGTGGCGGCGGACGTGGTCACATACAGACATGGTCGCCAAACTTCGTATTTTTATGTTTCAGACCATTTTATATCATTTCCAATCAAAATTAGAGTATGTGAAAATCGAAAGATTGCAATGCTCCTATTTGGAAGCAAAAAAGATTCAATTCCATCCATTTATTAGCGAACTATTGAAGAAAAATTTTACCACACACACGTACAGACACGGTCTAAAAATTTCATTTTCGGACTTTTTGGATCTTAATGGGTCGATATAACACAAAAAATCCAAATTTGACCGATTACAATGCTTCAATTCGGAAGCAAAAATACGTGCGTACGAGATCGACGACGATCAATCAGACTCTTTTTATTGTCAGTCAAGTGACAGTATCCTTTGTAGATACGTCTGAATTATAGGTATGTCGTCACCGTAAAAGAACAGGTGCGTAAGGGTCAAAATATGCGTTTTTGAAAGTGAAAGGGGCATATCTCTCATTTGATATTTTCTCGGGTTCTTAGCAAATTTCTCAACGAAAATTCATCATAAAAAAAAGTGTACCAAACAAGCGTAATTATTAGTATGTAGCATAAAAGAAACGTATCTTCATACATACTTACGTCAGTTTCCTCTTAGTCGATAAAACGGTGGCACATCTTTTCAACTAGGTCTCATTTCAACTACGACATTTCGACTGAAATTTTTAACTACAATACATCAACTAGTTTTTATGAAATTCCTATATTTTTAGGAATTAGCCGAAATTTTTTTCATTTTTTTTTTTCATTCTTTGCTTTTCAATAGACAACGTAATGCAACTCAATTTAACCACTGTGCTAATACATTAATGATTAATATCATACAAAGATTCAATTTGTTTTTCTATTAACAATTATAAGAGATCAATAATTTAGTATTAATAGTTGATTCGATAATACTTTTTTTTGCTGCTTTCCGAGTGACTGAATTGATTAAATTGTATTTTGTGTGGATTCTCCTTTTTTGAATTCTTCGGGAATTGATACGATATCATTTTGTAAAGATTATCCCCTCTCGAATTTCTCATCGGATAATGTAGATATCTGTAGGAATTCGTAAGCACACGAATATTTTGTTTGAATTATTGACGTTTTGAGAGATTTAGGGAATCGAGTCTTTTCAACTAGGCGATATTTCAATTAACGACAATAATTAATAATAATTTCATACGTTTGGCGTGTATTTAAATCTGAGTAGTTGAAATATCGTAGTTGAAATGTCGCCTAGTTGAAGACATGGATTCGATAAAATACGTACATGGTACGTCTCTTTCATATCAACTGTTACAGAAGGTCGAATTACAAATTTCACGTAACTAAATTTAAAAAAACGTATGTCTCGTTGACGCAAATCAACCCCCATCGAATGACTCTTCTTGCGGAAATATAAAAAAATAGAAGTAAAGCTCTGCTCCGTTTTATAAAAAAAAATTGTTTTCTAATTTCATTTGTCCATTTTTCTCCCCTGTTAATTTTTCTCTTGCTGGAAAACTTCAACAAATCAATTCCTAAATGAAAACATTTGAAGGGAAAAGGAAGTGTTAAGAAAAAAAATAAAATTGAAAAAGACCCGAGGGATTAATAATTTTTGGATAGACATTTTTGTATAATTTCTGTAAGGAAGAGTCACTTTGAAGAAGAAAAAAAATTGCAATCGAGTTAGGAGTGATTTACAGCAATGATTAATCGAAAGATCGGAAAATTTTCGTCAAAAATGCCTATTAAAAACTCAAAAATGTTCTTTATCTCTTCTGGAACACAAAAATTCGTTAAAAGCCAAAAAAGTGGATGAATGGAACATTTCGGTATAGCTTTGATATTCAATTACAAATGTAGGAAGGGATTTCACCAAAAAGAACATAGTTAAATTACTTAAGTATCTTAAGAAGACGGAAAGAGGGAGTTACCCAAAAATAACTTATTATTCAGTACTTATTAACAGTAGTAACACTCGTAGTAGAATTGAAAAATTCACATTTTATCTCCATTATCAGTACTAGATTAATTAATAATAAATAATGAGAAACAAAAACGAAGAAAAAACTCCGAGAGAAATGGCACGTTCACGGCTCTGATTTTACGGCGACGATGTACCTAAATCAATCGGCTATATTTTCGAGTCGAAAAAACCAAAATTAATTATCACATCACAAAGATTGCTCTGGCTACACTGTTAAAAATTTCAATTATCACTGAAATTTCAAGGAATTTCGTTATTGAAAATTCAGAATTTCGTGGAAAAATCAAAGAGAACTGTAAATTGCAGTTCCATTTTTCCCTGAAAATAAATAGAAAACCAGAAACTTCTGGTAAATATATTCTTGAATTTTCAGGACAGTGACATTGAATGCGATTTAGGGGGGAAAAAATAATGAAATTTGAGATTTCACTGAAAATTCAATGTAATTTGGCACTGAAGATTGGAAATTCAAATAAATTGCGGAATTCTCGTCTTTATACTGCTTAAAATTCTGGAATTTTAGTGAATTTTCAGTGAAACCTGAAACTTCATGATTTTTTTCCCTAAATGGCATTCAGCGTCAGTGTGCTGAAAAAATCGTAGTCAACTGTCCATGAAATTTCATTTTTCTCCAACAGTGTATGTATTTGGTACTTTTTAAATGACAAATCGAGTCCTTAGGATTGGAAGGACACGAACAACCATTATTTTCCATTTGAAGTGCATCTCCGAGATGATCATAATAATTCCTTAAAATGAGCAAAGATGTAGCCAGTATAAATTTTTATTTGTAAAAAAACATACATTGATACCCTCACCCTTGTGACCCTTCTCCCCTTGTACCCTTTAATGTCAACGAATGTCTTGACAGAATCATTACAACTCAACAGGCAAACCTTTGGAGTCAAGCAGATGCTCTCGCGGATTTTCGAGGTAAGTCGGACCATCGCCCACGCGAGTATGGATGATGTATTTTAAGTGACCTGGCTGATTTTTCTCTCTATTAATTTTCGAAATTAGTTCCTTCGAGAGAGGAAAACTTTGTGGTGGATTTCCCCTTTTATACTCTACATTTTTCATAGACTCCGATGGAAAATAATAATCTAACAGTCCCAATACTTCGGGGACGTTCTTCTCTAGTAAATAGAGAACAGTGTTTGGGCCTGCATCATTTGTATATCCAACCTGGAACATCAGAGAATTTTCTCAATCACCATAGAAAATTAAATATCACATTCTCTCGGGGGCAAATGATTTTAGAAGAAACTTCCAAGACCTTTTTTTCGTAACTTTGAACACTATTGGTTTTTCAATAATTCACTTTCGAGATAATTTCGCAGTGGAGTGGTTAAACACGATGAACCAACTCATCTCCATCTCCTTTGTAGAGCGAAATAAGAACTACAAGAATAATTTTCGCGGAAATGTTACCGACATCTTTTAATTCCGGGATTTTTTTCCAAAGTGACTCATCTCATCAGACCACTTTGATAGAAAGATGATATTCCATACCTTCACACACTTAGATGCCTCGTTGTATGCATGGATGAGGTCAATGATACCGAAAGAAACGTTGTTGAGGTAGAAACAGGGGGGAGTTGTGTCTAGACATACTGCGTGCATCTGGTTGGAGTCTTTTATCATCAATTCCGCAAATTTTTCGAAGTTTTTATCCATTATTGCCTGTTGCATTTCTTCTACCCTTTTAGGGACACAGTGTTCAGCTCGATATTTGAGAAGTTCTGATGTTAAAACACTGTTCTTCATGCCGAGGGCACTTGAAGTTTTTTTCCTTTCGTCATTTACCTGTTGAATGAGCATAAATATGGAAATTATAAATGTGTAAAATGCTAACGAGGAAATCATCAATGGAATTATCACTAGTGGGTTTCGAGGTAAAATCGGCTGTCTCTGTGATAATCAGTCCAATCGAAAACAACCGAAAATAAACAACGATTTTTCTATTGATTCCTATGAACGTTAGGATAATTTTACTCGTCACTCCTATTCCTACTTCTATAGATAAAAGGACCACAAATCTTAAAGGAATAAAAATGGCGGCGATTGATTGGGCATTCAATGCACCATGCATCTGAAAAGAAATCATTCCTATATACCCAGTAGAGTAAGAAACCCCCGGCGAATTTCAATTTTTAAAACACTTCAAAATCAATCCACTGTGAACCAACATATTTGTATTTCGATCGCAAATCAATTCTCCTGATTACTTCCTTATTAATTTTGCTAATCAGCCCGTAGCAGAACATCACTGCACACAATTTTCGTCTACTTGTAGTTAGTTCTCAATATATCGAAAACTAGTTTACTGAACTAAATTAGTTCGACACCACAACATCTTTATGATGATAAGTATCAAGTAAAATCATAAAGTTCCATTCAATTTTAATTAAAAAAATGGCATTGTCTCAGATCCAGGCGGTAACTTACTATACTATCAATGGAATTTGTAGAAATAAAGAAAAAAGAAAAAGACTATTAAGGGGAGACTACTGAGTATTAAAAATCGTGGGCCATTGTAATAAGATTTCTCGCACATTAAAGTTGAATTATATGTCTAAAAATGAATAATTAACGCAGAAAATTAATTGTTTATTATTCGTTTGTCCCGCAGACACTTAAAATGTTAAAAATAGTCTAGGGCCTCCAATTCTTGAGTTTGAGACGTTGTTTTTCAACATTTTTGAAAAAATGTGTATAATAACAACTGCGAATTAGTTTTTTTAAATTCGATTCCTATACAGCTAATTTCGTTTCTTTTTTATGAAAAAAACTAGTTGGTGTGCCCGGCGTTACGCGGGCAACTGTTTCTTCTGCATCTTATTTTTGAATTGAAAATGGTTTTTTAATTTATTCTTTGGTGGTTTACACAGGTTATGAATAAAAATAAAAATCATTAGCTTCACAATTTTCATAAAATTTATTTTATGACTCATTTTCAAGTATTTCTAGAATAGAATCATGAACTGAAGAAATTGAGCGTTACTTCTTGAGATCGCTTCAATTTCGAGAATTTCTAGAAACTCCTTGAATTTTCTTGAATTTTCTAGCAACTGAATTTCCTCGAAATTTCCAGAAATTCATTGCATTCCCGCGAATGTTATAGAAACACCCTGGATTCTTTCGAAAATTCTAGAAAGTCCCTGAATTCTCAGGAAATTTCTAAAAGCTCCGTGCACTTTCGAGTTCCCATAAATTTTGTAGAAACTTACGGGCCATTTTTTAATTTCTTAGAAACTCCTTGCATTCCCTCCAATTTTCTGGAAACTTCCTGAATTTCCCCGAAATTTCTTCTGGAAACTCTCGGATTTCTCTCAAAATTTCTAGAAACTTCTCGCATTCCCTTCAATTTCTAGAAACTCCTTGAATTCTCACGAATTTTCTAGGAATTCTTTGGATTCTATCAAAATTTCGAGAAACTTCTCGAATTCCCTCGAAGTTTCTAGAAAATCCGTGCATTCCCTTGAATTTTTTACTCCTTGAACTCCTTGAACTCCCTTGAAATTTCTAGGAGCTTTTTACATTCCCTTGAATTTTAAGAGAAACTCCCTAAATTTCCTCGAAATTTCTAGAAATTCCTCGAATTCTCTCGAAATTTTCATAAACTGAATTCTATTGCATTTTCTAAAAACTCCTTGTATTTTGCAAAATTTTCTAGTAACTTCTTGAATTTTCACAAATTTCCTAGAAAAATCTAGAGTTTTCAAGTTTCTAACTTGAGCAGTTTTCGAAATCGTATAAAAATATTTGCCCCATTTTCACCCCGTTAGGGGATGAATTTCCAAAAACCCTTCCTTAGTGGGTGCTTATGCCAATAAGGGAAGCTGTAGGCAAAAGCTCATGGTCGTAACTCTAGTAGTTTGGGTTGTGTGTTGATACTGAAGTCCCGTGAAAACGGATTTCTGCTTTAAATATAAGATTGCACCATTCATGTAAAATAGCCCAAAAAATGTTTCTGAAAAAATCAAAAATATGTTTTAAATATTACAAGGATATTGTTTTGCCCATTTTACATGAATAGCGCAATGTTTATATTGAACAAAACGAAATTAGCTGTGTAGGAGTCGAATTTCAAAAAACTAATTCGTAATTATTATTGTGCACATTTTTTCAAAAATTTGGAAAAAAAAACCTCTAGCTCAAAAATTGGAGGCCCTGGGGGGCTATTCTCAACAAAAAGCCGCTTTTTCCGCAGCTTTTTCGAAGCTGCGATTTTCTGCCGCGAGGGGGCGACACGATATTAAATGACACGAATTAATGACTTTGTGAACGCATTTTAAACCTCAAATCTGGCAGATTTTTTTGACATTTGGGAGAGCTATGATAAGTCAACTTTCGGGAAATTTAAACCAAAACAACCGTGATGATGGCAGATAATATAACAGGTGCAGTGTTAGTTGATGAAGAAGCCGAAGACCATCAACGGGGCTTACATAGATTATTAAATGCGCGACGTAGGGCAATTAGACGTACCTCAAATCCACTGGAGGATTTGCCCGACTCGGTGTTCAGTAAATACTACAGGATCAATTGGTTCATAGGATTTATTTGTTGGCTTTTATTAATGAAAATAATAACAGGGTTAGCAAGGATTTTATACAATGGCTGTGTGAAATTCCACTTTCGCTCAGACATCAAAAATCGGAGCTGAGATATTTACCAGCATCAATATCTACTCTCAGTGGTCGATAGGTAGTCAATTCTATTCACTAATTGATCGGTCAAGTATTTATCTCATTTGTAACACGTATTGAAGTGAATTATTAACACTTTACTCCAATAAAAATTATAGCTGCTCCAAAATGAAAAATTGCAGATGGAGGGGCATTTAGGCGCAAATGCGCATAATGCGTTCGCAAAGTCATTACTT